AAGTTCCATTGAATTTAGTGGGATCTACTTCCAATAAATGTGTTTCGGGACTGAAATGTGTGTCGTTACATACCCTTCTTCTCAAAGACAGGTCCACAAGTATCCTCTGTGTTGGGTATATGATGTGGAATCCAAGGTGGTGGCGTACAAGTAGATGACTCTTTTGTTCTCATCCTGGGAGCCCTGGTCTTTGGAAATCTGCCCTTCTTGCTGCAGCCTTCCACACCACATGCTAGTCTGTTCTAGAGGATGCCCCAGTCTCTAGGAGCCGATGTTTAGGGGCATAGGTTGCTGCAGAGGAAAAGAAGAAGCAGGAAAATTCCATTCTGTAAACTCTGTTCCATTCATGGAACTGAGGATATAAGCCAAGAAGAACTACCATTAAATTCACATTAATTTTTTAAAACCCATAATTGAATGTGGCATATATGTATTATATCAAGTGATCTTATTAGTTATATTTTGGCTTTTTTCTGTTTTGTCATTTTATTAGGTAACTTCAGCCCATCCTTTTCTGCTCAAGCACACCCTGCTGCAAGAACACAGACATACAGACCGCTGACGAAAAGTACTTCTGACAATGGCACGGAGGCCTTTAAGGTCTCGTCCCCTGTACCTCCACCACCCCCAGCACCCCCAATTCGCCCACGGCAACGATCTGCACCAGAGAAGTAAGCCTTGCAGCCATTTTGTAGCAGTCAATCTAGAAGCAGCAAATTCCATGAGGCATAATGTGCGAGGCATTATTTCAGGCTCTTTTAATGTTCAAAGCACATAAGAAGTATTTTTATACTTGCTGCAAATGCTTTTACATAGAGTGTGCCTTGCTTCACCACAAATAACTTAACAATCTAAACTGCTCCACTCACACCACAAAGAGCTCATAACCCACCTACTCTCAGTAGCCAGAAACATCATAACCAGACACTGGAGAGACCTGTCAGGAGTAAGCATGGACCAAGGGTATCAAATAGTATGGGAAACAGCCTTATTGGAAAAACTAACCAATAAACTTAAACTCACACGGGGACAAATAGAAGACGATACCTTCACACCGGTATGGCTCCCCTTTATCACATACACAGCCCAACAAGACAACAAGAATCCCCTGACAGCACACAAATCAATCTGACTAGCCTGATTCAAAAATACACAGTCACACCTGGCTCACACACAAAAACAATTCTCACTACAGCCGGCCAAAGACAACCAACCACACCCTACGCCACACCCAACCTCTCTCACCACCAAGGAAATACAAGTGAATAGTAAGAGAACCCATACAAGTAACGCTGACACAACCCCTCGCACACACTAAGTAGAATAATGGAAGCATAACCACCCCACCCCACTCGTCACTCCCCTCTCCCTTTCTTCTTCTTCCTAATTGTTTAAACCAATTCATAAACCAAGAATTTATACAATGACCACTAATAATGAAACATATGTTGTAGATATTTTTCCACATTTATTATGCTATTTTTGTGATACACAAACAACATGAGGAAACTTGGTATACTTGTTTGTATAACATTTTTCATGTTTATAAAAGCCAGTTTAAAAAAAAAATCTAAACTGCTGCATTGCCTCTTGACTTTCAAATTCTATAATGTCATTAATTATGCTATTGCGAAGCATGGTTTTCCTTTCTATGAAATCTCTGCTTTTAGTGTCAGTTTTATTGTGATTTTACAAATGGTACATGGAGAAAGTAGGCTTGCAGTACTCATAAGACATTTTTTATATATGAATAGAGCTTGGTGGGAAAGATAATTTAATTCAGTTGTCAATTTTATTTTATCTTAGAAATGAGTGGGACCCTCCTGATAGAAAAGTAGACACACGCAAATTCCGTTCAGAACCAAGGAGTATTTTTGAATATGAGCCAGGGAAGTCGTCTATCCTCGAACACGAGAGACCGGTAAGTGAAGTCAGTTTGTATTTAAACATGATAAATACTTTAATGAGTTAATTTCTAGTCATAAAAGCTGACATAGTTTTAACGGATATCATTAGATGCTTTGAAAAGAAATGAAAAGTACTGAACTCTTCTTAAAGAGATTTGTTGTGGTGGTTGAAGGGTTCACATTTTGTGGCTGAAATGTCGCAATTTTGGTTTGCTTGCCACATTTGACTACTTTGGATTTTTTAAAATGTTGGACTCAATCTGAAAAATGTGCTTGTTTAACTTGTCACATAGGTAAGCAGTCTTATAAGCCCCTAGTTGCAGAATGAATGTGGGGAGTTTGTCACCTTTGTAGCAATTTTACCAGCACATGTATAACATGAAAGTTGTTACACATGGGGGGGGGGATCCTTGTTCCTAGGCACTCCAGAAAAATTAAATCCATAAATGTGTTTTCATTATTTATGCTTAATGAGGTCTTCGCAAATGATGGCTCAATGCACACTAACTTGTGGCTAAATGTCTCTGTTGCATTTTTTAAGCTAGGGTTCATATAAAATTATTTAAAAGTATGTTTAATAAGGCTGATACTTGCAAAATTACCACTAATGTTCCCAGTAACTCTATGGCATAGTCTGCTCATTGATTTTTATTGCATATGCGTAGTCTTGGGGAAAATGTGCTTTGCTCAAACGTACTAATACTGTCCTTGCAAAAGTTAACATCTTTTATACCTTTAGTGGACACAAAGGCAATATCTTTCTTCATTACCCAGAAGGTGGTCTAGCTGAGCTGGCTTTAACCAGACCAGTACAATTTATGTTGCCTAACTTGGATGCAGCAATTGTCTTTAAATACTCAGCATTTTTAGGGTTGATCTTTAGCATTCTAATATATCATTTTAGAAGTTGTAAATGATTTTATATTTCCACTGTTCAGGAATTAAAATACTGATTGATGTAGGTACTCAAATGCTGAGTTTTACTTATGACATGTTACTTTGTGACCATTGCTTTTGAAGCCGAATTTTACCATAGCAGTTATATAGCATATAAACTGCACTGAATGGGTGTGTCTTAATATTTCCCTGTCTTATTGGTTAAACCAGTTAGGGGGTAGTTTCCAGTTTTTATTTCTCAAGTATGATTAATAATGAAGGTTTCAGTGGGAATGTGGATTATTAGTTGCAAGTACAGTAACTTCTATCAGCATATACAGTGGTGCCTCGCAAGACAAAATTAATCCGTTCCGCGAGTCTCTTCGTCGTGCGGTTTTTTCGTCTTGCGAAGCACGGCTATTAGCGGCTTAGCAGCTTAGCGGCTATTAGCGGCTTAGCGGCTATTAGCGGCTTAGCGGCTATTAACGGCTTAGCAGCTATTAACAGCTTAACGGCTTTAAGAAAAAGGAAACAAACTCGCAAGAACTTGCAAGACGTTTTGTCTTGCGAAGCAAGCCCATAGGGAAATTCGTCTTGCGGAACGACTCAAAAAACGGAAAACTCTTTCGTCTAGCGAGTTTTTTGTCTTGCGAGGCATTCGTCTTGCAGGGCACCACTGTAATGCATGATGAAATTTTATATACATGCGGGATACGTGTAACTTGATATTTGGGAAGAATTAAAGTTAACATTGGCCAATTCTGACCACCCAACGTTCACAATAATAGCGTGCGATTCATTTTTTTAAAAAAGTGATGAATTAACTGTAATCATCACATCTATGGAAACTTCTGAAGGCCAAGCATAAAAAACCTCACCCTATATTGATTTAAGAAAATGTCTGTGCTTTGCCTCCCATCAAGGACAGGCACACTATGCAATCTGAAGGAAGTTGGGGTGAAATTATATGTTATGAGAAATACAAGATCACTGCTGAAAATTACCATACTTCTGCTCTCTACAGTAACATGGAGAAATCAGTCAATTTCCAGTCTGTGTCAGTATTACAGTGTTGCATGTGCTCATTCATAAGTTCCATTTCTGCATTAATCCCTGCACCCCAAACAGCTCATTTGGGGAGTTTCTGCAGGTAATAGCAGGGCTCCCCCACTGGCAGAGCTGAGTGGAGGGAGCCTTCTGCCCTATCCAAATCCTCTCTAGCACAGCAGATTAGGGGTTTGGATTCCTCTCCTTTGCACCACTTCAGAAACATTTATAATTAAAACACTCAAATAACTATCCTTGTCTGGTATTCAACTTCTGCAATAGAAATATCATGGAGCAAAAAACCCACCCAATACAAATAACTCTGCATATTGAAATGTTTCACAAATGCACCCTTGTTTAGTACCGTGGAACCTCAGCTCCTGAACGGCTTGGGAGCCGAACTTTCTGGCTCTGGAACGAACAAAAACCAGAAGTAATTGTTCAGTTTTTGAACGTTCTTTGGGAGCCAAATGCCCGGCGCGGCTTCCGCATCTTCTAATTGGCTGCTGCAGCCAATCAGAAGCCATGCCTTGGTCCCCGAACTGTTTCGGGATTCGAACAGACTCCCAGAACAGATTAAGTTTGGGAACCAAGGTTCCACTGTAATGCCTAGCAAATCCTAAATTAATTCACTTTATTTTTTACCAGATTTTCCCCTTGGAATAAAGCTTTAGTTATGTGAGATTCATCACTGATGTAATCTAAATATAACCATCTCCCCAAACCCTGCTTGCGCTTGTAGCTGGCACTGATTGCTGAGGACTCCATTTCACGTTGTGACAAATTGAGTAAGTTTGTTGCTAAATGTTCAAAGGGAGCTGCAAAATGCTAAATGTTTCAAAGAACTTTGGAGGTCTGGATCTTAAACGGTAGCTGTGGTGTTCTGACAATCGCTTCCTTTTGAACAGACTCTAAATCAATTAGCACAGAGCCAAGTTGTTAATGTAACATTAATTTTGAAGTCTTCACTGTACAACTGATGTTAATTATAAAACAGTTCATTTGCATAAAGTAATAGGCAATGCCTTTTTGTGTCAGAGCTGCAAAATTTGTGGATAAAGAAATGCAATCTACAGAGTGCACTATAATTGGGACTTTGCCTTTTTATAGCATGTTCATGAAGTGGGAAATTAATTCCCATTACCTGGGGCTGTAACGCGAATTGAATCTAATATGTATGGAGAGAATGGGCATATATATATATATATATATATATATATATATATATATACACACACACACACACACACAAACACAAACACAGAGAGAGACTATTTTCTGGCCCAGAAAGCAAAAGCATGTGGTTTTGCACTTTAGGGATGTCACTTGTGTTCGCATCATGAATTCACCCACATTGCTTTCACAACTGGATGTTAGAATCATAGCGTTAAAGGTTCCAGATTTGCTTCCTTGATGTATGGTTGGCACCTCCTTCTCTAGAAAGCCTCCTGTGCTTTTAACTGCTTATGACAGGAAGACATTTAGCAGGTGCAACTTCTACCATAGCAGAAGTTTTGTGTGTTGAAATTCTTTTGGTCACACAGTTGTTAAAGTTGCCCGAACCTTGCTAGAAAAGAAAATGGGAGAATACCCTGCTCTTTGGTGGTAATAATAATAAGTACTAATAATGTTGACCAGAGGAAAAAATCCAGTTGTTCTTAGCTATGGTTAGTAACAACAAGCCAACTTCAAGCAATCATTTGTGAAGATGGCTTGTTTTCACTAACCATAGTCAAATTTAAGCATGTTTAGGATTCAGACAACATGCTAAACTGTGGTTAAGTGGGGGAGGGAAGAGGAGGAGGGGAGCACAAGCCAGAGGGAGGCCACATTCATTCTCATAAGGGCCGATTTTCACCAGTTTCACCATTTTGCTACATCAAATATCAGTGCTTTTTGCAAAACACATGGCCCCTATAGGCCAAGGTTATAGAGGTTTTGCTTCAAAGGCCTAGTGTTGAATGCTAGCTATTTGGAAACCACATAACTGCCCGTGATGCCAATGTAACATTAGCAGCCCTGGATACTTAAATGCATCTTGTTTTTTCATTGTTTTTTCAATTACTGAGTTCCTCTGAAAAGATAACAAAAAAGAGGGAAAGAAAGGCACCAAACACAGGATCAAAAGGGGAGGAGACTTCAAAAGCATACAGAAAATAATGCGGTGCTCAATGCATTTATTCCTCTCTTTCAGAAAGGGACCAAAACTGCATTTTGTAGTATCTCAAAAAGTAGGGAAAGGCATGGTGTGGAATAGTTTGAAATCAGGGTTGACCCTGAGAAAGAATAGTTATACTAAAAATGTGTTGGGTAATAAATTATTTTCTGCACAGCTTTTGAGAGCTTCTGCCTTATCATTCCTCTAGCAAGCTAAATTCCTCCACTTTCCAAGAGCTCTGCTGCTTTCCTCTCTTTATGGAGAAAAATGTAAAGTTAGCAGTCAAAGCCAGGAGGTACACAGTATTCCTTGTGCTCATATGTTTTTACTCTTCAGAATGTATATTATTTTTAGCAGTAGCTTTAGAAATATGTACTTAGAAATAATACAAAAAAAGATGTATTTGATCCTAAAAGGCGCTTTGTATCAAACGGGTGTGCTATTTCACACATCTCAAAACAGAAGTTGAAAGTTCTACATTTTAGTATGCCATGTGTCAAAATCTATGGGTATTTATTTTGCAAAATTTATACACTGCCTGTTTGTAAAAACAACAATGACCTCAAAGCAGTTTACCAAAAGATAAGATCAATAACAAAATACAATACTTTAAAACATATAAAAAGTTAAAATACCAAAACAGGATTAAAACTCACACCAACATATTTAAAGCCTCTAGGTAAGCTTGCCTAAACAAGAATGTTTTTACCAGGCATCATAGGTGTGATGATGCTTATCCTTCATCTTGAGTTAGAGGCTCTTAAGCCAACTCAGAGTTTGACTATTATAGAAAGCCCCTCCCCTCCAAAACAAACCAACCCGCAGCCATCCGTGCTGGGCTTGTGGCACAGGAAGAAGAGGCAACACCACCTGCCTTCCTCTCTACTTCCTGGCTACTGTCAACAGCAGTGCATGATGCCTGGGAAACTGGAACAGGGAAACTGGGAAGGGAAGTCATGGGAGAGCCACTTTGAGCGTAGAGAGGCACAGAATCCCTTTACTCGGGATCCCCTGTATCTTGTGAGATCTGGAGGCGGAAATACAGGGAGGCCTATATAAGGCCTTATCACATGTGGCTTGGCCTCAGTTGACCAGAGATTCCAGGCAAGCAGTCTGCAAACATAGATAGGTGCACTGCTCAACAGAACAAGCTGAAGCTGCTATTTAGCACATAACCATATTGATGGTACTCCTGGCTCAGATCCCCTCCCCAATGCTTGCTTTTAACTTTAAATAATATGTGGGAGATCCAGTTGAGGACCTCTCTCAGTGCCCAGTCTAGTTTGGCCCCAAGTCCAGGGTAAAAAAGAGGAGCAAATACATTTTTAAAGATGTCATATTGATACCCTGGCAAAGTGCTATTCCTCAATTAGCATTACAGCTTTGCTTTATTCAGTATGTCAGAAAGCAGCATGCATGGCCTCATAGATATCTGTCATTTCATCAAAGGAAGGCTATCAAATGTTGCTTTTTACAAGGAACTGCCCACCCAAGAGGCCCATATTACACAGGGTTGGGTGTGCAATTCATAATTGACAGACATTTTTCTATGTTGGGCTTGTCACATCATTGATTGAAAAGTATCAATTACTTGGGGGGGGGATAGAGCTGTTTTGGGGGCAGCCCTTGTTTTGTTGAGCCCTTTCAGTTATTTCTGAGTCTGCTTTTGGCTCCCAAGATGCTTATATTCCATATTCTCTGTCAAAATAACTCTCAGTAAGGTTTACAACTAGTGCAGTTTTATGACATTCTTCAAGAAAAAATAAAATCTAAAATGAGATGTCACTGAAACAGTTCAGCAACATGAGTGCTGCATCAAAAACAACTCTGTTTTTCAATAATGAATGTTAGATCATACATGTCCATCCCTGAAATATATTTAGAGCACTTTTTCCTTTAAAACAAATTATGATTTTTCCCAACATCTGTTTGTATGCATGTTGCATGCATGAGTACAGTTGTGCAAATTCTGCGTTTTTTAAGAAGAAAACCCCATACCTTCAGCTGACAGTTTGTAGTCCTCCCCCAAATGCATATAAAGAGAGGAGGCATGTGTAAATTAGTACCAGGACAAAAAGTGGAGATATGTATCCAGGGTTTTTGATTGAGACCTCAGTTGCCTCTTTATTTATGCACACACAACTTCTTACATTTTGACAGTGCAGATCAAGTTACACAATTTTTTACTGTCCTGCTTACACACATAGCTGTATGGAGCTGCTGTATTACTTTTTGGGGTAACAGCTTTTTAAATATGTATAGTGTATAGCAGGGGTGGGCAACCTAAGGCCCGTGGGCCGGATGCGGCCCAATCGCCTTCTAAATCCGGCCTGCGGACAGTCCGGGAATCAGCATGTTTTTACATGAGTAGAATGTGTCCTTTTATTTAAAATGCATCTCTGGGTTATTTGGGGGGCCTGCCTGGTGTTGTTACATGAGTAGAATGTTTGCTTTTATTTAAAATGCATCTCTGGGGTATTTGTGGGGCATAGGAATTCGTTCATTATTTTTTTTCCAAAATATAGTCCGGCCCACCACATGGTCAGAGGGACGGTGGACCAGTCCACAGCTGAAAAAGGTTGCTGACCCCTGGTGTATGGGCTTACCTTATTACAAAAATCAGAAAGGCAACATTGGCTCACCAGCCTGTTATCAGGCTCTGGTGAGTTACCAGGATTCTGCACAGATGTTGTGCCAGTTGGCAAGTTAACAAATTAGTTGAACGAACCTGTTTCACAGAATAAGAATTATAGAGTTGGAAGGGATCCCAATGGCATCTAGTCCAACTCCCTGGACAGATGACCATCCAACCTCTATTTAAAAACCTCCAATGGAGAGTCCACCACCTTTTGAAGTAGTCCATTCCCCTGTCAAACAGCTCTCACTGTCAAAAAGTAATGTTTAGTCAGAATCTCTATTCTTCTAATTTGAATTCATTGGTCCAGATTCTATGCTCTGGAGCAGCAGAAACAAGCTTGCTCCATCATCCATATGATGGCCCTTCAGATATATTTGAAGATGGCTATCATATCACATCTCAGTCATCTCTTCTCCAGTCCCTTTTGGTTACATCAGTCAACCAGCTGCAGTCGTACACAATGTTAGATTGCGTCAAAAGCTTATCTACATGTAAGTCTAGATATAGGACATTCTCCAAAAAATTTCTCTAGCAGTTCCTTTTAGTCATAATAACTAAATGGAGTCTCCATATTCAGAGACACCTTTGAGCTAGATGCATTCCTATATCCATGCCCTCCACCCCCCCAAAAAATACATTTGACTCAATTCAGATGGAATGATCTCAGTCTGATAAATTATGGTTTCAGATGGAATGATCTCAGTCTGATAAATGAGGGTTATGCCACAGTGCTTCCTTCCTACCTTAGTGCAAGACTTCCAGAGTTTCCTGTTATATACAGTTTCCTATATACATATAAACTAGTAAACAGTGCTTTAAACACAAGCTGCAGTCCTCTTGTTTGTGAACTGGTGCAATCTGTGGTTAGCAATTTTCGCTAGCCTTAACCACAGTTCTCTGATTTTTATGTAAGGAGTTCTGGAAACCTTGCATCAAGTCATTCAGGAGAGAGAGAGATAGAGAGAGAGAGAGAAAGAGGAAGGAAGGAAGGAAGGAAGGAAGGAAGGAAGGAAGGAAGGAAGGACACTGCTCTTTCTCAGACTGATAAACCACATTTTATCTGACCAAGAATATTGTACTTGAACCAAGCTTTTCAATTAATCATGGAACAAAAATTGGAGACAGAAAGTAATAAGCTTTGTGCATGGTAGTTATCGATCATCTTTATGAGTAAACACAGAAAAATAAACACAGAAAAGTGCTACAAAGCCAGAAATATTAGCATTTGACTACTGAAGTGGATGGTATGGTATGGTGAATGAAAGAGGGGAATCTTGGGGATGCTTACTCTAACACTAAAGCATTTACTGTTGCACAGCTAACACAAATTGTGATGTTCAGCTGGTGGAAACTAATATGCATCTGAGCTTATAAGCTGGCACTCTGAGCAGTATGTAAGTTCAGGGCATTTGTTCTGTGGATCTGAAAAAAAACCTAAAGGAATGTCAGGAATGG